GTAGCCAGGAGTGGACGTACAAAACCGACACATGAAACCAAAAAAAAACAAACAAACACCAAAACCAAGCAAACCAAACATAGAAATATCAGCAGCAGCCAAACGAAAAAAAAACAAAACGAAAACCCAACAACCAAAAAATAAGCAAAGAAGCAAAGCAAAAAGGGAAAAAAAAAGGAAGAAACCAAAAATTCAAGTGTTCCCCAAACCTTTGGCATTCATTTGTTTTTCCCCTCTGCAGAAGGTTGACAGTCGATGGTCTGTTTGATTTTTAATGATTTATCTCTTTTTTCTTCTTCTTCATCTGCTCGTTTCCTGGACAGTATCAGAAAGGAAACCAAATAAATGGGGATATTTTTTTTTTTTTGTAAAAAAAGAAAAAGAAAAAAAAATACTTTTAAAAGAACCTTTAAAAACCCTTAAGGGGGAATACAGATCTCACACCAAAAATCACCAGTTCTAGCTTCACCCAAAGCTTTTTACAAACTTTTCTATCTTCAGTGTCTGGTCGAATGTCTTTCAAAATGCTTTTATTTATTCTTATTTATTCTTTCTCTTTTCCTTAGATCCGGAAAGGGTTTGGGCAGGAAAAGAATGGATTGATTTAATTTCAGGATCTTCCTATAAATATTTTCTTTATTTTTTAAATGGTTAACAAATGTTTCTGCTTTTCTTTTTTTTTTTGCTTTTTTATTTTTTCTGAAATGAAACAAATAAGAAGCTTTATACAAATAGGGGGATTCTTATAAGAAATGAAGGCTAGGATTTTCAAAGGCAATAATGAATATCAGACACCGGCTTCCTTCTCTGGAAACTGGTTTCTTGATTGATGTCCTGCAATGAGTTGTTTTTTAAAAAATTATTTCTGCTGCTTCTTGTTTGCAAAAGAGGTTATTTGATTAATCGGCCTGGGAATAGGCTCCACCAAAGGAGTTTGTGATCACAAAATTCAGATTACTTGCCAGCCAAAAACTATATTACCAGTAGTTCTCTGGGGCTTGAAGCAAGGAGGTGGGGAACCATTTTACAAAATTTCTTCGTTGAAGATCCTCCTGAGATACGGATACGTTGCAAGTATTTGGTGCCTCAAAGCCCGGATATTTGCAATGCCTGTTTCTGTCCCTCTCAAAAAAAACTCCTACAATAAGGATGAAGGGGTTACATCTGGTTGGAATTACTTTATTATGTTGGAAGAAATGTCCAACAGGGCTACTCAGAGGGCATATAATGTAAGTACTTTTTGCAGGACAAGAGGCATTATTGAAAGTCACAGTCTTCAAATTTTTAAGGATGGGCAGCACTAAATCTATGCTTTTTTTCTATCAGCTTGAATCTTTTTTATTTGCCAGCTTTAATTTTCTATTGAGCTTAGCAGGGGGGGGGAATTGTTTTTAATTGGTTTTGCCTGGGGTTAGTATCAGGGGTTATTTTTCTGAAAACGGGACGTGCGGTTTTTTATTTTTATTGTTATTATTATTTTTATAGCTGTGTTCTGAAAAATAAATACTCATATTCCAGTGCCTGACAAAAACCAAAACAAAAAAAATATATATGAGAATTTCAGCATTCTTTACATTTTTCAGAAAAAAAAACCAAAAATTGATAGACATCACTACAGAAAACAACAAAATGAAGACCACTGGGGGAACAGAAATAAAAGCAAAGACAGAAGAAGAGGGATAAAAAGAATTCTTCTCAGAAAGTGGGTATCACAGAGACTCAGAGGCGAGAGAAACTTTTAACCAAAAAGAATCAAACACAAAGAAGGAAGAAGAAATAACCACAAGAAACTTTTAAACGAAGAAGAAAGGATGAAAATGTGGGGGGAATAAAGGGGACATCGTTACTTTCTCTGGTTAAGACAAAATGGCTCAACCGTCTTTCTCTGTCCTGAAAAAAAAGAAAAATACCTCATGGAAAGTTGTGTTGAGAAGCCAAGATTTTATAAAATGGGCAAAGAGACAAATAAAGTAAACCAAATCAACTGAAGTGGGAGGGCGAGATCAGAAGATCCTGTGACTTTCTCCCGGAAGTCTGGAAAGCTTTAAAAATGGCTTCTCAAAACACTTATTTTTTATTTGTTTTGTTTTTAAACTTTTTTTGTACGTTTCTTTACTTGGTCGTCTTTGGTTTCGTTTTAACTGGATGGTTTGGGATCTTTTTTTTAAAAAAAAAAACACGTTGGGTGGGTTAATTGATGTTTTGGGGGCTCTATTGAATGTTTGTCTTTTATTTTCAACTCCTGCGAACCAAAGTTTTGCTGTTGCAGAGAAGGAAGTTAGCCATGGCATACTGCGATCTGGTAGAAAACAGAAAAACCAAACAAAAGGACAGAGTTAAAAAAAAAAAAAAAGATAAACAAGCAAACAAAAAAAAAAGTACTTTGAACCTTTCTTAAAGGACAGAAAACAAAGAAAAACCCTCAACCTCATTTTATCTCCTGCTTTTGCTGTGCTCTAACGTTCAGGTGGGTTTGAGATAACAAAAGAAGAAAAAATACTGTGAAACTTTCCAAAACAGAAACAAATCAACAACAACCAAAAAAACAACAACAAACGAACCAGGAAACACCTAGTTTAAAAGACTTGAAAGAAAGAAAAGTTTTCATCCCATTCTGTGCGTGAGTGAGAGAGAACTGCCAAGTATTTATTCAGATTTCAGTTATGGTATAATCGTGGACATCTGAGGGCGGGGAAAAAAAACATTGGAGAGAAATATTTCTCTCGTTTTCTCTCTCTTTCTCTCTCTCTCTCTCTCTCTCATGTGCTACTGAACGTGTTTCTAGGTGGAATGTAACTGTTTTAGTGATCTTTGTTATTTTCCTTTCCTTTTGACTTTTTTGGGGGGGTATCTATTTTTTTTTAATAGAGAAAATTCTATGTTCCGCTTTATCGCTTCTTACTGTATTAAGAAAAAAAAGAAAAAAAACAAACGCTAAAGGTTTGCAACAAAAAAAAGATAAAAAGGGAAAAAAAGGAAACAAAAAACAAACAAAAAAAAATACCAAAAACCAAAATGTGTTTTTTTTTAATTAAAAAAAAAAAAGAATTGATTCTAGACCAAAAATGACCCTATCTCCATGCATGGAGCTGAGTGGTGGTTGAATGGCGTGGAGGGAAAACTCTCAAGATTTTATAGGGCAAGTAAGGATGTTGGGAAGTAGGTTAGATTGCTGTCCATCTGGAGATGAGGAGGAGCAGCTTTTTCAGAAAGATGAAAAAGGGGGTGGCTGGTAATTGCTCCCTCTTTTAGCCTTCAAAAACCAGCCAAATGTTTGACCGGAATGAGACAGAAGAAAATATACGCAAGCAGGTTGTAGATAGGATGATGCCTCTTTTGAAGGTTAGCTTTAGCTTTAGGAAAGGAGATGTGGGAGAGACATCTAAATCACAGGGACATCACTATCTCCCCTTCCAAATTGCTGATTATATAAGACGTGAAACGTAAATCTAATTTTGCTATAGGGAAGCTTGAGGTTGATGGATCCAGAGCAAGACGGCCTGATCTTTAGTTTTAAATTGGCCGATGATTTTTAATTGATTGGTCAAAGGCCATAAGCAACTGTACCTCTCTAGTCCACATACTTCTTCAACTGGCTGGTTTAAGAAAGAAGATGCTTGAAAAATAGCTGCATCTCTCTGTTCTGCTGAGCTCTCCCACTCCTAGGAGTTTTAGAACGAGGAAGGAAATAAAGTAAAACCAAAGCTGTCAAACCAAATATTTGCTCACATGCCTCCGTGCCAGTGCCTGTCCCAGGGTTGGGGGGAGGGCACGAGGGAGGGAGACAGGCTAGCCACCCCCCTCCCTCTCCTTACAGTGCCAAGACATCCACCACAAGGCTCTTTGGAGATAGCCCGCCATATACCTCATATACTTTAATGATAAACCAAATAGAAAAGCTTTATTAAGGGTGTGTGCCGTACAGGTCTGTTTTGGGGCAGTGGGGGATCGGGCGCAGCATTCCTCTCGCCCCCATGGAGGGAAATCAGTAGGACAGCCCAGGTCCAATGAAATCTGATCTATTGGAAGCTTCTAGGGTTCCAGGGGATTCGTTTTATCTGGAAAAGGACGACGATGTGGTTAGGATGGAACCGTGACAAGGACTGAAGACTGCATCCACAAAGACATGAGAGAGAAGGAGAAAATTTTTTTTAAAAGACACGCTAGGGGCTGGACATTAAGGGCCTCACTTTCCCCGATGTAACTGGCACTTTGTACATCAGGGTTAAATTGGAGGATAGCTGGAATTCGGCTGTGATGCAAGAGCATTTTTTTGTATCGAAAGTTGGAAGCTGGGCTTTTCGTTTCTCGTTGGACGCGAATCTCCTTTAGAAACCTTGACTGGGACCACGTTCGGGTCTAATTGGAAGGTCTTCCTCTGCCTTCCGTTGAACTGGCTTCTCCAGGTTGCTCTCTTATCAACTCTGACCGGTGTTGAGGTTAATGTGAAAAAGGGAATCTCGTTGATATGCCCAGGAAGGCCGGTCAGTTTGATAGCGCCTAGAGGAGTGGATCCAATGGGCTGGCCTTTTGCATGAAGGATGCTGCACTAGAACCCAGTTTCTTGCCGACACCACCCCAACATGACTGGCCTGTTGCTGTAGCCGACCTGGGAGCAGTGGGAAAATCGTGTGATAACTTTGCCAAAGGTAGTTAGTTCCTAGTATTCATTTTTTTTAAAATTTTTAATCTTCCGGGGTCTGATCCTGTCTTGTTAATTTATTTGTAACTGTGGGGCTTAGAAGTGACTTGAAAAAAAAATGATGATGATGATGATGATGATGATGATGTAACAAATATTCTGAGTGCTTTTTTAATTTGTTCTTTCATTTGGTTCTGTCGTGGTTTTGT